GGTCGCTCCGTGGCGCGGGCCGCCCTGGATCTCAGCCCCCCGACCCCCGACTTCCCTCACATGACGTTGTCGTGGAAAAGTCGAACTCGGGCACGTCTTCTCTGCCGGCTTCAAGGGGAAGCGTGGCTCGTTTCCCACAGCTGCGTCCCCCCGGCGTGTGGCTGTGAGTGGGAGACAGCGACGCCCACGGTGGCCGCCAACGCTGAGGCGGCGAAGGGCAGGGCCTGCGGGCTCCGAGCCCCACAGCTGACCCCGGGGTGCAGCGCGGCAGCGGACGCGCGAAGCCTCCGTTGCCCCGGCCCGGACCGCGTGGCTGAGGCGCCCGCATGAGGCGAGCTTCCGTGGCAGCAGAGTCACCCGCAGCCTCTTCGCGCGGCCCGGGTCCAGCTAATGTGGCCCTGAGGAGTGCGCGAGCCCATTGGGGCGCCCTTCTCCGCAGGTCTGTGGGGTTATTCTGCCCTTAGATGCGCCAGCGTAGACAGTATTTTAAAGTTCTGCGCATTGTTTGGCCCCTCCCAGGCTGAAGACTTCCCTCCCAAGCCGCCGAGCCCCCGGCCGCCGCCCGCACGCGTCCCGCCGGGCGCTGGCTCCCCGGGTGAGTATCTGTGCTGCGGTTCGAATGCGTTTTAAATATGGTCGAGAAGGCAAGCCCCATTGTTAGACTCCGCGTCCGATAGAGGGACGATGGGTGTTGAGAAGAATAGGGCTCGGCCTCTCGGAAATACCCACGACAAGTCCTCGTCGCTGGAAGCTCCTGTTCTCATTCAGAGTCTGCTTCTCCGATTCGCAGAGCTTCATCCTCAACGGCTTTTCGTCGCTGTTACTTGTCATTTGTCCCAAGGGCAGCCCTCGCGCTGCTTTGGGACGGAATAACCTGGTTCTCGGGGGTGTCCGCATTCGCGCTCTGAGGGTTCGCTTCGCCGGGTGCTCTCAGCGGCTCGGGGGGTCACGCGGGTGTCAGAACAGCCCAGAGTTACACAACACCGGGCGTTGGCCTCTGTCCCTCTTTCCCGCGCACCTTTGTAGGGCGGCCGCTCCCGGAGTCCTGCCTTCCAGGCGCGGAGGGCGGCAGCGCCGCGCAGCAGCCGCTGAAGGGGTGATGCTCCCCGTGATCGCGCTCGCCCTCGGGCCGGCGCTGGGGCTTCCGAGCGCGTAGAGACGGGCCCGACTCCGCCGGCAGGGGACAGACCCGTGCGGGACGTGGCGGCCCTCCCTGCGGGGAGCCGCGCGCAAGTTCCCGGGGGAGGAGCAGAAATACCGACGCCCTTCCGAGGGCCCGAGGCGGTCCCTCCTTCACGCGCCCGCCGTGTCCGGCCTCCTTCTCCGGGGCCTGAAGGCGCTACACCGGTCCCGGCGAGGCCTCTCACTTGCCTGAATGGGGCCCCGGGAAGGCGCCCGGCCCCGGCCCTGTTCTCCCTCCCCCGCACCCCGCCGCGTACTCCGCACCCCCTGGCCCGGGCGGCCGCGCTCCTGCCGAAAGGGCGGCCTGTTTCTGGCTCACGTTCGGGTGACTCGCTTGCGTTGACTCCTGTCGCGGGTGAGGAACGACACGTGGGCACGGAGCCTGCTTTTGCTTGAACTCCGAGCGGCCGCGTGAGCTCGGACCGTGCGTAAGTTTTAAAGCACACGAGGTCGCCGAAGTGCCCCCGCGGGGCAAACAGACACCGGCGCCGCGGGGAGTCTTACCGCTGCCGAGCGGCGCGTCCTCGCCATCGCGGGCCTGAAACTGCTCCGCCCGCTTCCAGGCGAAATCAGAGGCCGCGCGTCTCCTCACTCTTTACACTGTGGCATTTAGTCCTGTTGTCCCAGGAGGCGATGCGGTCGCTCAGTGTGAGTAACTGAGGCTGAAATACCACAGAGTGTGGCTTTGAGGAGTTTTAGGGTTACGCCGAACCATTTTAGGTGTTAATTAAAAATATGCAAGTGAACACGTGCTGTTTAAAAATGAGTTTAAGAGTCAAGCAAACGAGGATGTTTGAAAATCACTGCCTTGGGGGCTACACACGTTTTTAAAATGCAGGTAGCTTGTGATTGCTTCTGGAAAAAAGATGTATGTGTGTTACCTGCGACCCTGTAGCGTCAGGGTCAAGAGTTGTAGTTTTGACGTTTCTAACCCTACACATATCAGAGGTTTACCCTCTGCCTTATGGCGGGGATACTTTCTGGGTTTACTCAGGAATTCCTCTGGATTTAAAGTGTGATAAAATAATGATATTTCTAGCAATCTTAGGGATTTAAAATACCTGCTTTTATGTACGATATGCTAATAAGTCTTCTAAATTCCGCCCCTGTTTTTTTTTTTCCTGTTTTGCAGGTAACGGAAACAAGTCTAAGCTCTACCCTGAACTTTCCAGCTTTCAGGAGAGAGTTGGTAAATACCGTATCTATATGTTAAAAATGATTCATACGCATCTTACAGTCACAAACTTTCCAACTAAATGGCAGTTCATAAAACTCTGGGATGGTACTCAGCACTCCTCTGGTTTAGGGGCTCTGTTCCTGGTTGGGAGAAGTCCTTCGCTTGGAAAAGGCTGTGCTTTGGCTCTCCTGGTTGCACTCGTCTGCGATAAGGAGGGCGACCGGGACCGTAGTGGCACATGCGCAGTTCCTGCGGGGGGAGCGGTGGGGGGCTGGCACCCCAGCTTGGGACCGAGCCCCTCTGACTCGCAGGGGCCCGTCCGAGGACAACCGCAGGATCTTTTACGATCTTGTCACCATAGAATGACAAGGTTTGTTCATTGTGAATTACAACTTCATCATCATCACATCTTTTCTGGGTTTTAGCCCCGTGGATATTTTTGTATATTTTAAGGATTTTTTTTTTTCATGTTCAGATATTTTGCCGTTATTGGGAACTACTTTATAAAACTTATTAGGATTTGCTGTCTTACTTCAATATTCTTTACAAAACATTCCTGGAGGAATTAAGCGATTATTTAGAAATGTGAGTGGGACACAAAATGAGGGCAAAGGTGAACCAGTTGTCAAATAGCCCGTTTATTTTCTCCCGTCACCTTTTGTCACTGGAGTCACAGGACCCCATACTCCTGGGAAAGTAAACTACGGGGCATCACTGCTTTCATGTAAACGGACGTCAAGGTAGCGAAGTACACATTTTGCTTTTAATTTGTAAAGATATTTCAAAAATGTCTCGTAAGCACAGTTCCTTCCTCGGAAGTTGAAGCTTTCCTGATGGAGTCGGGCTTCCCACTTCCCACTTGCTTTCAGCCTAGCTGCCCCGGTGTGGAGCCCGCTTCCCACCTGGCGTTGTCCCGGAAAGCTGCATTCGCCCTGCCTCCGAGGGGCTGCCTCCCTGGTTTAACCGTCTGAGCCTGCTGGACTGTGGCCTCCTGCACAGTGGGAAAACACTAAGAGGCTTTTAAAATGTAGTTTGCTCTTTTGAATGTGATTTGCAGCCAGCTGGAGACTACTGACATTGCCAGTAATTTGACCGGCGGATACACATCCTTCAGAAGCAAAAGGGGCGAACATGTAAATGTTTACACCCAAGTAGCATACACGTCTGGAATTTTATGTAGCGGTCTTTCAGGAGACTCTGCTGGAATTAGACCTACACTTAGATATCTTGCAGTTAAAGCAGTTCTTAAATTTGAGGTCAACAGACAAGCTGAGTTGCTGAGGGAGAGGGGGCCAGCAGGGACACTGAAGGACAAGGGACAGCGGAAGTAGAGGTGACCCCCCTTTCCACAGGGTTCTCTAAGGGCCTGTGCCCGCAGGCTGGGTGCCTCAAAGGCACTGAGGGCGGTGTGAAGTTAGAAGAAGCAAACCCTGAGTGGGCTCTGGAAATAGGCTCGGACTTTGAGCGCTGGCCATGCGAGCACGGACAGTTCTTGGCCGGTCAGGTTTTGTTTATATATTTGAGGATAGGGTGAATTAATTTGTACAAACAGTGGGTACTAGGATAACTTTCTCCAAATATAAGGGATGTTGAAGGAAAAAAAAATGGAAAGGAAGATTTAAAGTCTATTTTTAAAATAAAACTTACTTTACATGCTTGTGGGTTTTTTTTGTTTTTTGGGGTTTTTGTTTGTTTGTTTGTTTGTTTTTAAAGCAGCTGTCAAACCAGTTCAGTTCTTAGCGAGGACTTTCTCACATCCTGGCCAAGCACTGCTGCAGAGAAAAAGCACAGGGCACAGGCCCGAGCCTCAAGTTAAACCCAACCTACCAGCACGTCCAGGCCGCCGTGGGCTTGCTCTCTGCCTGTCCCATACACACTGACCAGCTGCACTTTTGCATGGCTGTTGGGGAAAGCAGTGATTCTCCTAAGTGCATGTACTTTTGTTCTGCACCCTTTGGACACTCCAGCTATCTGGTGCTTGGGTGTCTCAGTGAGACAGCCTTGCAAGTGCACAGCCTGGTCTACTGTACCTTGTTGTCTCCGTGTCTTCTCGTGTCAGTCTTCACCGTCCACCCCCCATTTACCCTGTAGTTTTCAGTGACAGTCTGGGCACATCCACCACGGGGGCCATCCTGTGCTGCCCCCGGGTGCCCTTGGGCTGAGTCCGTCTGTGCCGATAGGACTCCTGCCCCCATTGCGACAAGCACAAATGCCCCAGATGTTACCATCTGAGAGCGGCTGGTTCTGGTGGACTCACCTGGTGGCCTTATCTGCGTCGGTCCCCAGGGACTGTTGTCCTCTTCCAGAGGACGTGGTCCCCACAGTGACAGACCCCAACCCCGATTCAGGTCAGTCACGCAGCTCACCGCTACATTAAATGTACCCAAAACCGAGGACGTGTCTGTGCTCTTACTTCCGCTTGCCTGAGACGCCCTCCCGAAGGCTGGGATTCCTTTTCTGAACCGTGTCGGGGCCAGAGACTCCACTTACGTATGGCTACAGGACGCAGAGCATGGAGAGAGCAACTGGGAGGGACACAATGAGACCCGGTAGGTGTGGCGTCTCTAATTAGAAGAAGCCTCAGGGCAGCTGCCGGGCAATGGGGCCTGTGATCTGTTTCCTGTTGTGGGGCTGACCTGGGAGGGAAGAGTAACCTGTGTTTGAATTCAAGTTGGATATGATGATGAAAATGGCTAATCACTTCAAAGAGCCTCCGTATTTCTTGAACACAAGAATGGGAAACTAGAAGGCATCTGTGAATGCCAGATATTTTCATCAGCAGTGGGGCCAGTTTCCGTGGTCCCTGGGGGGCTCTCCCTTTCTGGAAGGTCATATCCCCCTCCCGGAAGAAAAAGGCCCACTTTTTTTTTTTTTTTTTTTAAGAAGCTATTTTGTGGGCATTAAACTTTTCCTTATGGGAAGTATCCCTAATATTTACAGTAAAGGAGAACTTTAAGTCATTTTGCTGGAAGAAACAGCAGTAGGGCCTGGCCTGTGGGGCCTTCATTCGGGCTGGGCTCCCCGCCTCGTGTTCCTGTGTGTGGATTTTCCCCGAAATGCTTCAGCTTCTGAGTCTTCTTGGGCTCACCCCCGGCTGCCTGTCTTGCCCATATTCTCCCCTCGCTCTACCAGCCACGATCTGCCTCATCTCCGCTCAGAGTTTGGGTGGGGGAGGCCCCGCAGTGCCGCCATCTTCTCTCGAAACCACCCGCTCTGCCCTCGCGCCGCATTCCCATCAGTACTTTGTCCTTTGTCCATCTGGAAAGTACAGCTCAGAGACAACCGGACAGCCAGTCGGGAACCCCGTCTGCTTCCCTTGGTTCCTGAAGCTCTTCTTCCTGTAATTACTCATCACAGGGTATGCTCCTCCCACTGGTGGGAACCAGCTCGGTGGTCAGTGGTCACCCAGGACCTTCATCCGACATTCTTACGACCTGTAGAGTCTGGATGACTCGGTGATGCGCAGAAGTACACTATTCCCCTGGGAAACTGGCCGTGCTCGGCCGGACCGACGTTCCCTGTGCTGCCCACAATCTAACACCCATGTGGCTGCAGAGGGCCTCGGGCAGGAGGTCCGTGGTGACCATGAGTTCCCAGGGATGGACTTCGGAGACTCGGATCTGCACTCCCTGGACAGATGGCCTCCCACTTCCACTTGAGCGTGATGCTCTGTGAAGTAGGGGTGACAGCAGCAGCCACTCGCCGGAGATGCGGGACGGGCGAGCGCAGGTCAGGCTGCACCTGTCACCGTTGCCCTCGTCCCTTCAGATGTCTTACGTTGTGCATAGTGCGGCACATGTGGTGATGACTTCCAGAACATTCCCTGATGCTCACTGGGGCTCGTCCAGGTTGTGCTTTGTGTCATCTGAGACGTCTGGGAGACAGGAGAGGAGGAGTTTCTTGAGGGTGTCGTCAACTGGGGCTGAAGAGGTTGAGGTTCGTATGTGGGTGGTGAGGAAACTGGAGGTGATGCTGTTCAGAACGACGCTCCCTCTCACACCAGCTTGCCTTCCTCTGGTTTAACGACCTCCTGTCGTGAGGACTGGCTGGGTGTCCCACTGAGCTTGTCACACACAGAGGAACGAGGGCTCGTTACTGTGTGTTGGCTGTCACTCTGCTGGTTTCGATGATACCCAGACTGCATCAGAATTCTTCTTTCGGTGACGCATGTTTGCCCTTCTTCCTTAAAATGGACAGACTGCAAGTACACATAGTATAAATTATAAAAGCGGGCAGAGCATGTCTGTGGTAGAAAAAATAACGACCCCCAGAGTCTCTGTGATGTGACCCTGGGTTGCTGCTGGGGTTGTTTCCGCAGGACTCGGACAACCCCGGGGCACCGCTCTCACGCGAAGGACTGTCGCACACCGTGTGTGGGTGACGCACGGCGAGTCTCGCTCAGCGCGGTTTAATTCAAGTCTTGACTTTTTATTTCTTACCAACAAGCCAAATTTGGTTTATCTTTTATTATTATAGTATTATCGGGTTAAATAAGTAACTGAGTTTCAGAATTCGGTTATTTATGTTTTCAGTGTGTCTGTACTAAGACGCATTTAACAACCATCTAGTTGCCTAATAAGAACACAAGCATGAATGAACAGAAAGTATCTGTTTCTCTATATTTCTTATGCTGGTGCACAGTTCGTAAAGTTACTGTTTTTAACTCCTCAGTTCTCAAAGTATTTTCTTCCTAACACAATACAAACAATTCTACACATTGTGTTGAAACTCTTATTAAGGGGCGTCTGGGTGGCTCAGTGGGTTAAGCCTCTGCCTTGGGCTCAGGTCATGATCTCAGGGTCCTGGGATCGAGCCCCGCATCGGGCTCTCTGCTCAGCAGGGAACCTGCTTCCCCCTCTCTCTCTGCCTGCCTCTCTGCCTGCTTGTGATCTCTCTCTGTCAAATAAATAAAATCCTGAAAAAGAGAGAGAGAGAAACTCTGATTAAGCACATGCAGACCTTCTTCTTGCGCCAGTTTGAGTTTTGTCTCTGTTCTGACAGTGTGAAGCCTGTGGGGAAAGTGCTCATGACCCGGCAAAATGCCTCAGAGCCGGAACCCTCGAAACCAACGGCTCCTGAGCGTGGTTCCTGTTCTGTTCTCTTTAACATTTTGTGTTATTTTTTAGCACGACACATGTTCTCTTCAATCCCCGTCCTACCCACTGCCCCTCTGGTAACCGTAGTTCTCTAGAGTTAAGAATCTGGGTCTGTTTCTCAGTTTCCGTGTGTTTCTCTCTCTTTTTTCTTCCTTTGCACATTTGTTTTGTTTCTTAAATTCCACATACGAGTGAGCTCATATGATATTTGTCTTTCTCTGACTGACTTATTTCCCTTAGCGTAACACCGTCTAGTTCCATCCTGGAACATGGTTTTTCAATTAAATCCTGTATGATACAATCGTGACCATAAAAGTGTTTTTCTCTAACAGCTACAATTCATGGAAGCCATAATGACCATTCGATTAAAAGGGGGAAAATGTAAATACAGTTGACCTTTGAACAATGTGGGGCGTGGCATTTGGGGGCACCAAACCCCAAGCAGCTGAAAATCCACATATCACTTTTGATTCTATGTCCTGGCTCCTGGGATCGAGTCCCGCTCGGGGCTTCCTGCTCTGCGGGAAGTCTGCTTCTCTCTCTGCCTCTGCCAGTGCTTCTTGTGCTCTCTGTCAAGTAAATAAATTAATTTAAAAAAAAAAAAAAAGGAAAGGAGGAGAAAATACATTTACATTATCATACTGTTAATCACAAAAAAAATCCATTTGTAAGTGCACACCTGTGTTGTTCAAGGGTTGGCTTGTGGTGTTATCTTAGAGATCATTCAGAAGTCCAACAATTATAACCACAAATATTTGCTAAATGCATAGTCAAGTATATAATAATATGCAGTTTGACTTGTGTGGATTTAGGAAGTATTATTACCAAACACTTGCTCTTTTTGAAGAAGAAAAACACGAGTTTAATAATAGGATGAAAATCTCACAGACCCCATGCGCGAAGGCATTAGAGTATCAGGTACTGAAGTTAATTTACATCTTCGCTCCACACCCTTCCCAGGCTTTCCCATCAGACATGTGCGTAGTCTAAGTGCCTCTGCTTGTTTGTTCCAGGCCTGAACGAGCCCGTGGAGGTGACGGCGTTGTATTCCTTCGAGGGACAACAGCCCGGGGACTTGAACTTTCAAGCCGGAGACAGAATCACAGTTATATCAAAAACAGACTCACAGTTCGATTGGTGGGAGGGAAAGCTTCGAGGTCAAACTGGCATTTTTCCAGCCAACTATGTTGCCGTGAATTAAAGTTTATATTATTTTCTTCTTTGAGAATTATAAAACATTTATTTCTCCACAGACAGGATTTACTCTGCAGTTAGGCAGTGTTTAATGTAAGTTTTTAAAATACTGCTCTTTTTCTTAAACTTTTATCAAATATGTAAAAGATTTTTTCTCTCTCTATAAATGTTTAACTTACATACGTTTAAATACTTCATACTAATTTCATCACACATCCTATTTAATAGTTAACATGCTCCAATTCATATGGTCACAGTCCTTTTGTGTTCCTTTTCAAGCATCACTAAGCCCGCAAGTGGCTCCGTATATGGTAATTGCTTATTCTAAATTGAGGATCTTAAGGGCAGGGTGTGAATACCGACTCACGTATTTCTATTTGCAAAGTGCCTAGAGAAGAAGGAATCTGCTTAAGGAAGGTATTTAGTAATCCTAGTTGTAGGTGCAAGCTGGAGTATGAATCCTTAACGATGTTCTTTATTGCCTAAAAAACCACCTCTGTGTGTGGGTAGCAGAGACATGCTGTTGCGAATTTCAGCTGCTCTGCATTGAACAAAGGTGACATTGACTTTTCTTCTGCGTGAGGTTATGTTTATTCATTTCTAGTAGGAGAATCAACTTATGTTAACGTGGCCTAGTTGTGCCCAAATAAATGTTCTTTAAATGATAAGTTAATGTCTTGTTTTTCGTACTTTCTCTGTGTAAAGTAAGAGGCCCTGTGGTTGGCCTGAAGGTTAAAACCCAGCACGGTGATTGGCTGCCTGACTTGTTTTCTTTTTGGGTTTACTAATACATGCTTGACAAATACACTGGTATTTATTTAATATTATTATTCGTAGCAGTGGTAGTTAAAGACCACAATGTGATGGTTTGATGTACAGACACACTGTGGAAGGTCCCACCGAGTTAATTAACCCATCATCATTTCAATTATCTTATGCATTTATTTATTTATTTTTTGGTGAGAACAGTGATGTTCTCCTCTCTTAGCAGATCTCAGTTATCTAACACAACGTTACCGAACTTAGTCACCATGCTGGACGCTCGACCTGGAACTTGTTCCTCTTATGCCTGGAAATTTGTAGCCTTTGACCAGTATGTTAAGTTCCCCCGCCTCCCAGCCTGCGGTGACCCCCACCCCACTACTCTCTGCTTCTGTGAGCTTGGGCTTTTTTAGAATCCCGTGTAATTGAGATCATATAGTGTTTGTCTTGTACTGACTTGTTTCACTTAGGGTAATGCCCTCAGGGTCCATCCATATTTCCTCAAACTCCAGGATTTCCATATATATATATGTATAACCTCACATTTTCTTTATCCATTCATCTGTTAACAGACACTGGGGCTTTCTATACACAATAGCTTGTCATCTGCAAGTGGAGGTAACTGTGCTTGTCCCTTCCCCATGTGGACGTTAGTCATTCCCCAGCCGGAAGTCTGTGTCTCTCACTCCGCTTCGCCCCCCGCTTTGTTTCCTTGCCTGACTGTCCTCACGGGACTCCCAGCACTGAGTTGAACAGAAGGGGCAAGGGTGAGCACCCTCGTTCATACCGATCCCAGGGACACGCTTCCACGTTCTGCCAGTGGAGTGAAGACGGCGGCGGACGGGTCCCGTGTGCTCCTCGTTTAATCTCCACATACGGACGGATTTTCCAGTTTTTTCTTGTAATGGATTTCTACTGTTGTACCACTGTGTTCAGAAAGGATGTCTGATGGGATTGCGGCCTTATCAGATGTATCAGGACGTGGTTCGTGGGCTGATCTGTCCTGGAGAATGTTGCCTGCGTGTCCTGCCGCCGCAGCATGGAATGTTTGTGGGTCTGGCTGCTCTGACAAGTAGCCCAAGTCCAAGTCCTCATGATTTTCTGTCTGGATGATGCATTCTGTCGCACGCAGGGGGTTGCCAGCCCCCACCCCTTCGCTCCCCTCCCCGGGCCTGCTGCGGTCTCTCTCTCCCTTCAGGTCCGCCAGCCTCGGCCGTGCGCAGTCAGGGTGCTCTGGTGTTTGTGCGTCGTCGCAGCTGTTCCCTGGGCTCGGTCAGTCGACCCCGTTATCGGTACGTAGTGACCTTCGTCTCGTTGTGGTTTTTGGCCTAAAGTCTATGCTGTGTGACATAAGTATAGGGACCCCTGGCTTTTTAGGGCTCCAATCCCGCACTCTTGGTCTGAGTGTGTCCCCACGTCTGAAGTGAAACTCACTTGAGTCTTTTAAAGTCCCCTCAGTCCCGGTAAGTCTTCTGATGGTGACTTCAGTCCGTTTACCTTTGAAGTAATTTTGGAATGTCGCGGACTTACTATTAACACTTTGTTCATTGTTTTCTGGCTGTTGTGTAGTTCTTCTGTTTCCTTCTCTTGCCTTCCCCTTTATGATGGTTTTCCGTCATGGTCAGTATGCTTTCATGCCGTTCTCTTTGTTTTTGTGCATTTTCTGTGGGTTTTTGCTTGTGGTTACCATGAGACTTACACAAAACATCTTAGAACTACAGCTGTGCACTTTACACTAATAACAGCTGTGATGCACATAAAAGCTTTTTCAAACCCCCATTTTCTCCTTAATGTCACAATTTATATTTTTTTACAATTCATATCCATTAAAACTATTGTATAGTTACTAATACTTTTTAAAAATTTTTTAAATTATTTATTTAACAGAGAGAGACACACACAGAGAGAGAGCACAAGCGGGGAGAGTGGCAGAGGGAGAAGAAGGCTTCCCACCGGGCAGGGAGCAGACATGGGGCTCGATCCCAGAACCCTGGGATCATGACCTGAGCCAAAGGCAGACGCTTATCAACTGAGTCCCCCAGGGGCCCCAATACTTTTCTTTTACTATTTATACTAGAGTTTTGTGATTTTCCCATCATCATTACAGTATCAGAATATTCTGAATTTAACTACATCGTGACCTTCACCAGCGAGTTGTATTCTTTCTTACTAATGAGAGCCCTTTCCTTTCAGCGGGAGAATCCCTCTAGCATTTCCTGTTAGGCTGTTTTTGTGGTGAGGAATTCCTTCAGCTTGGTTTGTCTGGAAAGCTCGTTCTCTCCTCTTCAGTTCCGAAGGACGACTCGGACAGAGGATTCCTGGTTGGTAGGTGTTTTCTGCTTTTCGGGTTTTGTTTTTTGTTTCCATGTCAGCACCTTGAATACGTCACCTTGAGAAGGACCTTCCAGCCTAACAGGTTTCTGCTGGAAGATCCGATGATAGTCTTATGGGGCTTCCCTTCTACATAACAAGTTGCTTTTCTCTTACTGCTTTTGAGATTCTGTCCCTGTCTTTGATCTCCAGCAGTTTAAAGGGAGAAGTCTCCCAGTGCCTTCACTGCCTCTGTTTGGGAACTCTCCTGATGTCTGCTGCTTTCCTCAGGGGAGGGATGTTTTCAGCCGTTACTTGTTTGAATAAGCCTCGTGCCCCTTACCCTCTCTCTCCTACTGGGACCCTAGATGCATCCGTCCGCTCACAGAGGTCCTTCGTCTGTCTTCACGCCTTTTCATTCTTTTTCTCTCCACTCGTCTGACTGGATGAATCCCACGGCCCTGCCCTCGAATTTGCTGGTTCTCCCTTCTGCCCCTTGTACTGGGCTATTAAACCCCTCATTGAATTTCTCAGTTCAAGTATTGTGTTCTTTGATGAGGAGAACAAAGGTAAAAGAAATGTACATAAAAATAACTTTCCTTACAACTCACAGCGCATCCACAAATACTTGACACAAGCAGAGCATGATAACCCTCAAAGATTTCACCACTGTAATGCTTTGCTAGAGGCAAAAAGCAACCTTAGCTGGGTAAGAGCCTTAACTCTAGGATTCTGGAAGTCCTCTTTAACATATGAAAATCCTTCTGAAAACTTCCTTCGTCTCTACCCCACCAACTTAAAACTGTGTAATCATGTCTTCTGCCCATTTCTTGATTGGATTATTTGTTCTTTGGGTGTTGGGTTTGCTAAGTTCTTTATAGATTTTGGACACTAGCCCTTTATCTGATATGTCGTTTGCAAATATCTTCTCCCATTTTGTCAGTTGTCTTTTGGTTTTGTTCACTGTTTCCTTTGCTGAGCAAAAGCTTTTGATCTTGATGAAATCCCAATAGTTCATTTTTGCCCTTGCTTCCCTTGCCTTTGGCGATGTTCCTAAAGGAAGATGTTGCTGTGGCTGATGTCGAAGAGGTTGCTGCCTGTGTTCTCCTCAAGGATTTTGATGGATTCCTTTCTCACATTGAGGTCCTTCATCCATTTTGAGTCTATTTTCGTGTGTGGTGTAAGGAAATGATCCAATTTCATTTTTCTGCACGTGGCTGTCCAATTTTCCCAACACCATTTATTGAAGAGGCTGTCTTTTTTCCATTGGACATTCTTTCCTGCTTTGTTGAAGATTACTTGACCATAGAGTTGAGGGTCTATTTCTGGGCTCTCTATTCTGTTCCATTGATCTATGTGTCTGTTTTTGTGCCAGTACCATGCTGTCTTGATGATGACAGCTTTGTAATAGAGCTTGAAGTCTGGAATTGTGATGCCACCAACTTTGGCTTTCTTTTTCAATATTCCTTTGGCTATTCGAGGTCTTTTCTGGTTCCATATAAATTTTAGCATTATTTGTTCCATTTCTTCAAAAAAAATGGATGGTACTTTGATAGGAATTGCATTCAATGTGTAGATTGCTTTAGGTAGCATAGACATTTTCACAATATTTATTCTTCCAATCCAGGAGCATGGAACATTTTTCCATTTCTTTGTGTCTTCCTCAGTTTCTTTCATGAGTACTTTATAGTTTTCTGAGTAGAGATTCTTAGCCTCTTTGGTTAGGTTTATTCCTAGGTATCTTATAGTTTTGGGTGCAATTGTAAATGGGATTGACTCCTTAATTTCTCTTTCTTCTGTCTTGTTGTTGGTGTAGAGAAATGCAACTGATTTCTGTGCACTGATTTTATATCCTGACACTTTACTGAATTCCTGTACAAGTTCTAGCAGTTTTGGAGTAGAGTCTTTTGGGTTTTCCACATATAGTATCATATCATCTGCGAAGAGTGATAG